CTCCGGCACTCAGAGCACAGAAATCCAACATAGAAATGAAAACGTTTTAATGAAGCCACCAAGGCGGCCTCCAGGGGACACTTCTCCAAAACTGTTTCTGTTGAGCCTGACATCTTTCCGATAGCCCGGCTTCAGTCCATATATTTCTGCGTGGGTCATTGGCCACAGACTACATCAAGCTCCATCATTTAAAAAAGTGACTCCCCTGAAAACTTTGAGGTATAATATAAAAATAAAAAGATTGTTCAGAAATGTGGTGGAAATGCAGTCATGAAATCCCTCTCCTCCTCTGGCTTAATTTGAGACTAATGGTCACATGGAAGAAGAAATGGAGGGCACGGTTTCAAGTTAATAATGTGCCTGAAGAGCCGTTTATAATCTCACAATATCCTGCTTAAATGGATCAGACTTTTAGTCTTTTATTGTCTCTGAGGTCATTGCTATAGTCAGGGAAATGAAAGAAAGACTAAATATTGCTGCAAAACAAGCAGACCTTGCATTATAAATGGGCTATTTTTGGATTGACTTGCTGAGTCATGTTTGAAAATGGATCACTTTATATTAATGACATTTATATCTCGTATCTCCTCCTTTAAAAAAAATGCACAACCAAGGCTTTTTCTTTTGGTTTTATTTTAGTTCTCAATTGCTTGAGATACTTTAGTCTGTTGTGTTCAATTAAATAAGCATCAGATTTGAACACTGCAGAATGTGATGCTGCTTCTTTAAGTGTCAGTTCCACATAATATGTTTGAAGTTATTTTCATTCCTACTATCTCTATCTATTAAAAAAATTACTCATGATTTAAATCTGTTGGTGGAGTTTAAGGGAAAAATAATTTTGAGATGATCAAACTTTATTGCTTTGCATTATGAATCACTCTGGATAATGCTATTAAATAAATTAATTATATTTCGATAAATTATATTAGTCAATTATTATTATTATTATCTTTACATACTTTATTAATCCCTGAGTGAAATTCTGACAAACATAGTCCCAAATCACACACATGCACAAACAGGAGCTGTGGGCATGCATTAGTGGAGAGATATCAGAGTGGGGCTGCTACACACTGCAACGCAGAGAGTGTACCAGAGCTGTTGGGGGTTCGGTGCCTTGCTCAAGGCCACCTCTGCATTACTCAGGAAGTGCCCTGTCACCTCTCCAGCTACCAGACCAACTTCCATATTTTGGTCCCTATGACTTCAACCGGTGACTTTCCCAACCCAAACCCCTAGAGATTGAACAGCTGCCGCCCAAAATATTAAATATTAAATCTTCTGGTAAAACTTAATAAGATGATTGGGGGACCTTCAGCTACATTCATTTCATAACCTAAAATAATAAGAAATAGATATCAGATGATATAAAATTTCCATATAACCATGGCAACATCCTGTGACATTAAGCAATCACACATATTATTACATAAACTATTGTACATTAAGGCAATCTAACTTCTTCAAATTTTTCTTATTTTTGTGAATGAAATCTTGTTTAAGAAATCTTTAAACCCTTCACATGTAAACACTTTTGAAAAAGGTTTTTATTATTATTCATAACTATTTTTTACAGCGATGACATATTTTAATAAAATAGGGTCGTATGAAATCGTACCCATAAAAGAGACTAATAAAATACATTTATAGGCTACTTAAAACACAAACATAATCCCAACGAGACTGTTCGGAGAGGGTCGTCCTCATGGAGTTCACCGATCAAGACTGGAGACAAAACTTTTGAATGACACGGGATAATTTTATCCCAGTCAGGCAGACACGATCAGATCGAGCATTTACATGGATTCTGATCCAAACAACGATCGGCATACACCACCCCTCTCGATCGGAATGAAATTTCTTTCAGAATGAGTCTGATTAGATCAGTCTGTTCTGATTGACATGTTTACATGAAGCATTGTAAATTGTAAATTACCTTGATTCAGTTTTGATATTTTCGCTATTAAGGAGGTGTGCATTCCTTTCACTCAATATCTTTCTGTCAATATCAAAATATGTCTGTTGGGGGCGCAGATGGGCTAGCAGTTAGGTAGCGCCACATGTAAAGAGGCAAAAGTTCTCCCAGCAAGCTGGTAGAGTTCAAGTCAGATGTGTGGCTCCTTTCCCACATGTCATTCCTCTCTCTCTCTCTCTCTCTCTCTCTCTCTCTCTCTCTCCCCCAAAAATGTATTCTTTAAATATTTACAAAAGCATAGACATGAAAGCAATACAAAAATAATTAAAGTAACAACATGCAGCGTCGTTTCTAACTGTTGTGGTTACTTATAGCACCTTTGTAGAGTTGTTTTCCTTTGCAAGTCAATATTGACAGTGTTCATATTGATGTTGTATTTGGCTTTGGATAGTTTCTTTTATACTATGAGCACTGTAGTAAAATACATTTAAACACAGACTAGAAAATGTCTTTTTTTTCATTGTTTAATAATGAATCTTGTTTCCAGGTAACGTGTGATCATTAGTGCATCCCATAACTCTTCTTCTATACCAGCTGAATTCCTCACAGACTATCACACTGCACACCTGATAGTCATTGAAGTATGTGTTCAGTGCTTCAGGCTTTGGGGTGGACATTATTGGAATCGGGCTCATATAGGTTGGTCTGTATAAGTAAATGGAATGGAAAAATGGACTTGAGCTTTTCTAGTCTAGTGATTACTCAAAGCACTTTTACACCTCATGTCACACCTACACATTGACACATTGATGGTAGAGGCAGCTATGTAAACCACTAGAAGTAAATAATCCCATTCAAACACATGCATACACCGCCGACGAAGCATCAGGAGCAACTTGGGGACATGTTGCTGCAGGAGCTTTGGGCCGAACCCCCAACATTCCAGTTGAGAGACAGTAGACTCTACCAACTGAGCCATAGCCCTCTTAGTCGGGAAAAATCTGTGTGGAGAGCCAATTTTGTGATGTTTATTTTATACCAGTTTCTATGTCTGCATAGGACCATTGAGAATATACCTAATTAATTTTGTGTTTGGGTAACAAGCACTGCCTGCCATCCACTAGTACAACAGATACGCAACATCCAATAGAGAAATGGATTATGCGACATCTAATAGAAGAAAGGATTAAGCCAAAAAAGGCAAGTAAGTTTGAAAACGCAGAGCCTGTGACGTATTTTCATAATTTTCTCCTATATCTATTTTAGTATGCTCCTCGCATTACCCAGCATCACGTCTCCCTGTCACATGTCACCTGTCACAACAGAGACATGCATTTACCCCCTCTCTCCCCCCGCTGTCATTTGCCTGAATGCATTTTCAACCCCTTTGACTTGTTCTAACGTGCCATTACGGATGAGGAGGAAAAAGACGATTTCTGAAGTGAATGGTGTCAAAGCTGTTTGCTTTTTGCTCCATCAAGAAAAAAGCCTGGGAGCAGCTTCTTGTGCTCACGTCTACCAGTTGACATCTTTACCACATTATGGTTCTTGGGTCGTTTTAAGGTTGTCTCGAGCAGACTTATCAGAAGGTATCAGAGTAAACCAAAGTCCTTTCCTTTATCTCTCCGTTGCAGCTTTCCACCCCTTACTGGCAAGAAAAATAAAAATAAAAGCCACAACCCCCTGATGTTTCAAGCAATTGCAATATCAGCAAAACAGAGCTGAAGTAAATATACTGTGGTATTGATCGGTCACACATTAGCATTTCAGTAGATTAAGCTGGAAACTGTGGGGGTGTTCAGGTTTTGCCGTACCGCTGTCAAAGTGTCAGTCATCAATCTCTTTGCATGCATGCACACGTGCACTTCCTATGAGGTATCTCTGCAGAAGAAGACAATTAACTTTCACAAACAGCCGGCCAATCTGATATTATAATCTTTGAGGTAGAATGATGGCATTAATTTGCCTTTATTGGAAGTATTAGACCACATTCAGGTGGTATTCAAAGCTCACACAGCAGGTCAACATGGCATCGATAACTGCGACTGCATGGGGGCCAGCGTGAAAAATCCTACTGAATGTCCCATGACAGCAGTTGTGTTCTGGTAGTTAACGGGCAGTTATACAGCTGGGAGGATAAATTGAGGGAATTGAAGATGTCAATGAAGGTACACAGTCAGTCCAAATACAGATTGTGTGATTATGTAAATAAAACACACACAAATCAATAAATATGTGCTACACGAAGGCAATTCTCTCGTCATTGGCAAAACAGGATTTTGCAATCTAAAACGTTAGTCAAACACTTTAAAATGTGTTCTACAGTGCAATTTCCCAAATACACAAGATATCTTTATTCAGATTATTACCATCCAGAATGTCTTTCTATTGTATCAGACAGCATTTCATATAGAAGTCTGGTTCAGCCCTGTTGTCAAGCAATGATTTATTTTCAAATAAATGATCCAATCATGTATTTGAGGACTTCAGCTCTAAAATGATATAAGTAAGGTAGAAGTAGGAAAGACACATATAGCATTGCATCTAGGGCTGTCATAACATGCAACTTTGAGTTATCAGTGATAGAAATTTGCTTTAACCTCCTAAGACCCGAACTCTTGCATGGCATGCATTTTTAATTTCTCTTTGCTAATTGGGCTGATTGGGACCTGATGAGTGTAAAAACAAAGAATTATCTTTTTACATGATGTAGTTTCTGAGAAAAATGATGTCCACATATGAGGACATTCGTTTTAAATTTCGATAGAACACAATAAAGTCAGAATTGAGTAATGATATGCACAACTCTTTATTTGGTGCCTGAACACAGCAGCATTTTTCCTGAGTGCAAAAACAAAATGAGAAACAACAATTGTGCCCCTCTGAGCAATATGGCTCATTTGAAGTGCTGCTAACAGTTGCAGGAAGACGTATGTCTGTAACAAAGTAACATTCTAAACATTTTGCATTGAAACTGTTCTAAACTGTTCATTTCAATATCTCAACATGGCATGAAACATTTCACTTACACTCCAAAACTGCTACTTCAAACTTTTTTTTCCCCGTGGGAACATGTTTACACCTATGTGTGAAAGGCTATGTAACAGTTGCGATCTGCCTGTAAGCAGAGGAACACCTTGCATGTAACACGATGCACTCGAGTTTTCTCTGAGCAGCCTTTTGCTCTGCAGCGCGCTGCATTCTTCACATTTACCGCCTCTGGCAGATGTGCATTAGCCCTCCTGCGGACTGAGACATGGGGCACTGCCTTCACTGGACGCCTTTTCCCTTGGACCAAAACGTCTGGGTCATCTTCCCGCTCTGAAAAGTCAGAGTTGTCATTGTCACGCTGAGCCAAGAAGGTCATGGCCAATTCCATACGAAATTCAAGGAACTGCATGATGTTCTTCTTTGGTGTGCCACATACAGTGAGGTCTTTGCGGTACAGTAGCCAGCTGTTGGCTAAAGCCAGATCCGTAAAGTGCATTAGCATCCGCAGTGTCCATTTCTTTGTACGGCCACTCATGCGATAGTAACTCATCATTCTATCGACAAGGTCAACTCCACCCATCTTGGAGTTGTATTCACGGATAATACTTGGTCGCAAGATGGTCACATATCGTTTCAGTTTTTTGTCCCATCTCTGGCAGGTGTCTTCTGGCTCTCTAGCATGAACAGCAGACATCATCAATACCGGTTTATTGTCATACCACTTCACCACGCAAATCTTTCCATCCTCAGTGGTAACTTGTGCTGAGGTACCTCTTCCGTTTTTTTTCATTGTTTTGTCAGTTGGTAGCTTCTGCACTGCTGCAGCGACCCGATTCTTCATAACTGTACCAGTTACATACATCTGCTTCTTCATCATGCGTTCCACACATTGGATGGATGTGAAGAACCGGTCACAGTAAACATTTCTATTAGGCTGCAGAGTTTGAGACAGGCGATCTATCACCAAGCCTCCCAAACCCAGATCCCCTGGTTCTTCAACCTGCTCAAGGAGTGCATCTCTACCTTGATAAATGTCAAAGTCCAGCACAATACCATCTGCTGTTGCGCAAACAAAGTTTTTCATGCCAACTGGGTTTGGTTTCATTGGCAGATATTGTCGACACGGACAAGCTCCTGTGAAAGGAATCATCTGCTCATCAATGGAAACACATTCTGGTCGAGCCTGAGATTTGCAGCCTTTCAGAATGCGATTCAGAAAAGGCCTCACCTTCCAGAATTTATCACACTCTCTCAGATCCTCTGGAACATCATCATCAATGAGCACTTTGAGTGATCGCCTCAACCTGAAGAATCTGTCACGTGTGAACTTTTCAGTGATGGCAGGGAATCTCAAGGCTTTGGACCAGTACATCCTGATTGCAGGATATGGTACGCAAGACATCAAAATACAGGCACCAAAAAAATGATAAATTTCATCAGTTGATGTGTTGAGTCACTCCATCACTTCTAGCCAGTGACGTAGCATTAGAGCAATCTGCAATCATTTTCATCAAATCTTTATCAATATACTGTTCTATGTAGTCCAGTGGGGTCCAGCCCGCTCTGTCCTGCACAGTTTCCTCCTCATGCTCAAACTGGGCTTGATTTGGTGTTAGCGGAGAAGCCCTCCATCGCATCTCACGCCCTTTCTTGGACTGTTCTTGATGGCTTGGTCCTGGTGTTGTCTCTTCAGGGACATTGTTTGAGACATCAGCCTCATCCTGCTGTGTCCGAGAGCGACGTCTGGGAGTGCGGGATCTGGCAATGTCACGATCTGAACGATATCCTTCATTTTCATCACGGAGACGTTTACGTCCTCTGATAGGCTGAGAGGGCTGTGGAATGGGGTCCTCACATCCACTACTGTCCTCCTCACTGGTGCTTGGCTCCTGTCGTGGGGGTTGATATTCAACATCCCCTATGGGATCATCGATGTCTGACAAATCTTCCACCTCTGAGTTGTCTCCACCAATTAACCCCAATAACTCCATTACTCTTGACAGAGAATAACGCTCTGGAAAAAAATTTCATGAGAAAAATCAAATAAAAATCTTTGTAATTTATTTATAAAACATGCTACATCTGCTTGTACTGTAGTAAACTATTGTTTTCTACCAAAATCATCCCAAAATACTATTTCATTCTCATGTTTTGTTGCTAGCATTTATGATCACATATAAACATTTTCAACAAAACTAACAAAACTAAGTCCCTCTGTCCACATACGTGGACATCATGTTTAGCGGCATGGTAAATCGTTACAGTTACTAACTTTTGTAAAATTTTCATTCCATAACAAACATTGAACACTTTTATACATATCTGAACAAGAATCAGCCATAAAATTTGATTGAATTTTTTACCTGGTCGAAGTTTGGATCGGGAGTTGCCATCTGAACTTCTGGGTGTGTTGTCGGCCATCTTGAATCTGATGTATAATGTGTTATACTCTTCTGACACCACTAAGTGGCAGTATAAAGTCCTCGTATGTGGACCCCAGGCCCTTGTAGAGCAAAATTTAATATTGTGGTCTAGACAACCCAAAATGTGATGTCCACATATGTGGACGCCAGGTCGTAGGAGGTTAATGAAACCAGATCAATGACACTCCATCATAACCATCCATCTCATACATGGCTGAGTATAAATCCAACCTTGGTAGCCTAGGAAACATGAGGGGAGCATATGGAAAAACTGAACTTGGTTTTACATTTTCTGTTTTTTTATCTGCCGTAGTGAAAGATGCCATCCATGGTCAAATAAGCAGTGGATGATCTTCCGCTGCTCTCTGACCTTTGCATACCTTTCACAAAGAGGGTCTGTACACATGCTCTGCATGGAAACATAGACTTTCTCACATATGTCCCTGTCTTTTTTCTTAAGATTCATTATTGGTCCTTTTTGCCTTCATGAGATAAGAGAGTGGATAAAGTGGGAAATCAGGAGATTAAATATGCTATCCAAAGTTAACTTGACTTAAAATGTATTGATTTATGTGTTTTATTCATTTAATTAATCACAAAGCATGTCATCATATATATTGATCAATAAGGGAGTCAAACAATATTTACAGTGGTTAATCGCTGAATTTCTATAGTTCATTTTAAATCACATGTTTAAAATATTAATATTTGGCATGTTTAAGCATCATTTTTTAATCCTTTTATTTTGTATTTTGTACTGTCTTTTGCTGAGGTACTTCACTTCCTTTTAAAGACACCTGCTTTACAGACCTCTAACTTCCTGTAGATCAAAAGTTATGACATCAGCCAACAAAAAAGAAAACTCTACAAATTAGAAAAGTAATGAAAATAGATAAATGGAATGGTAAAAATGGGACTTGTTTTAACTGAAATGAGACGTTCAAAGGTGCAGCTGTATCGTTATTTATTATTATATCGTCAGGAAGACGCAGTACGACGAAAAGGAAAAAATAGCAAAAGATTGAAAAATATTGATGCATTATTTTCTGATCTCAATCTCAAGAGATTAATGTGATAACCCTTTACCGACCAATTATAAAACTTAATTTGAACCTGATTTATGACACACAATAGTAAGACAATACTAGTTAAGAGAATGGTACAAAATTATGCCAACCGTAACAAGCAAATAGAGCCACTTCCCCAATAACAAACACTGCCAGCACTTACAATAATTATGATATTAAAGCACAGCAACAGTCCTTCAGAACTAAATGAGGTTTATTGATGGCAGCAATTGCAAGAAAACAATTATGCAGTTTAGATAACACATTCCCAAGAGGAGTCTCCTTCACGCTCCCCTGAGAACATTTGAAGGATTTCAATGCAGTTCTTCACCTTCTTTTTACTCATTAACTGACCATCATAGAAAACCCCACAACAAAGACACTGTAATGAAATCCATTGGGAGAGCAGGAGGTCATTCGATTTTAGCACTGGATCAACCTTGACCCAGATCTAGAATCAGACAGCCATTACGAATGAGAGCAACCAAGGAGAAAACTAACAAACATGCAAAACACTTCAGCTCTGATGGTCATTTTGGGTGAACGATTTAGTCAAATTTAAAAAAGAAAGATTGAAATGTGGAAGAGGTGTACCATTGTACAAAATATATGAATGAATGGTTGCTCCTTAGAAAAAATGAAATAAATCAGTCATATTATGCACAGTGCTTCAATACCTTTGATTTATTTTCAACTTGTTTAAAAATGCAATCTGCATTTTATTCTGAATTACAAAGATATAAAATACAATTCAAGGACTCACCCACAAATAACATTCTCGGATGCAATGTCAACATCTACTCACCAGTGTTCCAATGAGATTTCCATTTAAATCAGGATTAATCAGCCAACTACACCTCGAATATACTTCCATGGTATTAGAACAATATGTTGTTTATGACCAGCACCATTTCAGGAAGTTGTTTTTCTTTTATGTAACTTGTGTTCTTTTTCTTTTTACTCTCTAGAAGTCCTGACATTGTTACTTAAGTCTCACAGTTCCTGTCCATTGCATCCAATATGAACAAAAACAGAGCTGTGCTGCTTGGTATAACATAAAATCAATAGTTGGAGAAGGATGAAGGCTGCTTATCTGTACAATATTCCCATAGCAACAAGCAAGAAGTGGCTGCATAACATCATTACAATCTTTACCTAAAGAAATAGCATAACCTTGAGCATCATCTTAGCCAGATCATTGTTGCCATCATTATAAAAATAGGCTATAAAAATGCTGCTAAAATGAGCTTTAGATGTTATAAAAATCATATAATTTGTAGAGCAACTTTTTAAAAGACACATTTACAAAGTGCTTTCCATAAAAAATAAAACAACAATACAACAGGGATTAAAACACAACAAATAAAGAGAATGTGCGTCATATTTAGAGAAGTACAACTAAAACCACATCAGCGGTCAGAGATAAAACAGTTGTTTTAGCTGAAATATTACATAAGATCAGGATGAAAGTACTAAAAGATGGTCAACATAAAAGCCTGTCTATACAAGAGTGTTTTGAGAAGAGATTTAAAGGAGCAATATGTAACTCTGACACCCAGAGTTTAAAATGAATACCGCATCCAAATTCAAAACTCTGAAGAGAGCTGTCTCCCCCGTCCCCTCCTCCCTAGAGTCAAGGTGTGAGCTTGTTTCCATGTCGCGGAAACTAAAGCTTCAGTATTTAACCAGCTCTGCAACAGTCTTATCCGGTCCAATATTTATCTTAGTTTTAGGTGTCCAAACCCGCTCGCAAAACCCACCCTAGCCCATGGCTCACGGAAGTCATAAGAGAGCAAAGAGCAGGGCTAAGGTCAGCAGAGAGAAAAGCAAAGACTTGTCTCATTCTCCTACAGCCTGAAAACGGCCAAGACAACATTTTATCAGAACAAGATATGCAATGCCACAGATACAAGAAAAATGTATTCTGCTTTTAACTCACTGCTTCAACCACCTCCTCCTCCACCCTCCGATCTGTTCACACCAGACATGTTTGCCTCATATTTTACTGAAAAGGTTGCAACCATCAGTAACCAGTTTTCTGAGCCTGACCAACTCAGCCCAAAGGCACCAACCAAAAGTGCCTCACTCGACTCATTCTCCTCTCTGACTGAGGATGAAGTCTCTAAGCTTGTGCTAGACTCTTGGCCCACCACCTGTCCTCTGGACCCAATACCATCAAGCTTCCTGCAGACCATTTCCTCTCCGCTTAATGCTGCACTTAAGCATATCATCAACTCCTCTCTGTCAACGGGTGTGTTCCCCACTGCATTCAAGCAAGCTCGGGTCAACCCTCTGCTCAAAAAACCCACACTAAACCCAGCCCAGGTTGAAAACTACAGACCGGTTTCTCTTCTGCCCTTTCTGTCAAAAATACTTGAGCGCACAGTCTTTAAGCAAGTCTCTGAGTTCCTGTACAGAAACAATCTGTTTGACCCAAATCATTCAGGCTTTAAGTGGGGCCACTCTACTGAAACTGCACTACTGTCAGTAACAGAATCGCTACGAGCTGCCAGAGCTGCGGGTCAGTCCTCAGTTCTATTACTGCTAGACCTGTCTGCTGCCTTTGACACAGTCAACCATCAAATCCTCCTATCCACGCTCTCTGAACTTGGTATCTCAGGATCTGCCCTCTGCTGGTTCGTGTCCTACCTCTCTGGGCGATCCTTTAGAGTGTCATGGAAGGGAGAAGTGTCCAAAGCGCACAGCTTATCCACAGGGGTACCTCAAGGGTCAGTGCTTGGTCCCCTTCTCTTCTCCATATACACAAGCTCACTTGGTTCAATAATCCACTCTCATGGCTTCTCATACCACTGCTATGCTGACGATACCCAGCTCTTCCTGTCATTCCCGCCAGACGATGTTACAGTCTCTGCAAGGAGCTC